ATTAAATTTTTTTACATGAATAGAGTATTATTAAAGGATGTTTGATGTTGAATTTAGTGAGGATCGGTGAAAGAAATTATTTTAATTTTTATTTCGCTCACAAAGCTTCCTCTATGAGGAGAGGAAGCAAGAAAAATCCGCATGCTTAAAGCAGCTTATTTTTATTTGTTTTATTGTTATAAAATTCTCTTTATTACATATTATTTATATTATATTAATGTTACGAAATAAACTGTAAAATAAATATTATAGCTTTTAAGAGTACGATTTTCGTTAAGATAGATTTAATTCCGAGTTTTTTATATAAAACAGAATATCAGTACTGTACGAACTTTATGGTTTCCCGCATGTTTTGCATGTTATCTTTATAATCCTGGTTGATTGAAAAAGCGAGAGTAATTAAAATTTTGAAAGAACTTTACTGTTTTTTTTTTTGTTATATTTTATGTCTAAGGAAAATATTATTTATTTTATTATTTTATTAAAAGTTTAATAGAATAAAAACATCATTTATTAAAAGTTCAATTTTATTAAATCGAGTAATAAAATGTAAAATTTTTTTATGATGTTGTAAGATTTACACACTAATTATATACATTTTTTAAAATAAAATAAACAGATTTTGAAAAATATGGATAATTTTTTGTTTCAGGTAAAGCTGTTCCGTTCGTCGAGTTGACTGTGGCACACGCTTCGGTCCTTACAATTTTGGCTATTAGCTTTGAACGATATTATGCCATCTGCGAGCCTTTAAGAGCGGGGTAAGTAATCATAGAAATCCATGTTTAGGGAATAGATAAAAACGAATAATTAAATTTACTGGATTATACACGGATTTAATCCAATTAATTCAATATACTCGTAGATACGTCTGCACAAAAGCGCGGGCGACTATTCTTTGTATCTTGGCGTGGGTGGCAGCGGCGCTATGTACAAGGTGATGCAAACAAAAGAAATTTAAAAAATCTACAATTTATTTCATTAATATTCTTTTATGCTTTATTAATGTCCTTTATCTTTGCCGTTGTTTTGCTTTACATGTCTTTCACATGCTTTTCTTCTGGCTGACGCATGTCGCCCTTTTTCACTAGACTCTCTCCCGTCTTACATCTTTACATGGCTGTAATACGAAGTCACCACCTACGAGTTCTATTAATTTTTCTTGCGAAAGCATGTTTTAAAATGTACGAAAGAGCCAGTCACAGTCGGTCTTAATTAAAATCTATTTAAACAAATATAATCCGAGATAAAACTTTATAAATTTAAATGTCAAATTGTAATACAATAAAAAGGGTTTTTTAATAATCATAAATTGAGAAATTATAATTATATAAAGGCAATTCAATTCAAATCTTTCTCTATTATAAACTATATAATTAAAGTTCTTAGAATTATGTATATAATTTTAACTTTAAAATGCATAGTTTTCTATAAAAGTTTTAAGAACTCAAACACACACACACACACATGCACGCGTACGCACAGTATAAGCAAGTATTTCGATAAATTTAAATTTAATATTGACGAAAAGTAGAACTCTAAGTTTCTTTAAACTTTACAATATTGTATAGCTATCATTCTCTGTACATCATATTTACGTCACAACTTTGATCTTTATTCACATTAAAACTTTGATTCAAAAAAATTCACCATTGTAGTAATTATCTTCCGTCTTTTGCTCTCAGATGTATATAAGTTTTTCGCAGTTTCAAAACTAGTGAAACTATACTAGAAGATTATCGAACTGCACTTGATATATATCATTTATTTCTTAATTAATAATTAAATTAACTAATAAAGGCTCTTATGAATATATCATACGAAGGAGATAAAAGGCAATCAAGAGCCAGCGCGGTAATTTGTGCGCATATGTTTTATTACAATCAAATTACATTGATATTTTGATTACGTGATAGACAAAATCATAAACCATATACTTTGTAATTGCGCTGAGGATGGTCCAAAAAAAGGGACCGAAACGTACGCTTTTTTGTGATTTTTTGTTTATCACGTAGTCAAAATATCAATGTAATTTGATTGTAATAAAACATATGTGCACAAATTACCGCGCTGGCTCATGATTGTCTTTTATCTTCTTCGTATGATTAATTAATAATTTTGTAGGAATTTTGAAAACTACGGAATCGCGTAAAGTATTGATAAATAAAGTTTTAATATCTTTATATATAATTAAAGTTGAAATAACTTCTAAACCGAAAATGATCTGAGGCATGAATAATCTGTATGTTATCGATTGAGAATTTTATTCGAATTAAATTAGTTACTGAAAGTTTTGCATTCTTCATTCTATTAACTTTGGCTGAAATTTGGAAACAGTTTATTCGATGTGTACAACATGCACATTAATTATTAAATTGTACAGGAACTAATTTAATTTACTTTCGCAAAAAAAAAAAATTACATGGGATTTTATTTCCATAATAAAATAGTTTATTATTTTTACATAAAAAAATTTAAATTGACGAATATTGCCATATTTAATAAATACAATTCTTTAATTCTTTATTATTAATCGATGTTTGATATTTTAATGAAAAAAATGAATAAATTAATTGTAGAATTTGTCATTAAAATCGTAAATGCTAATCATTTAATATGCGTGTTTTATGCTCTTTAGTTTGAAAGGATATTTCATAAGGAATGGTTAAAGAACACAATGATATATATTCATAGCACGTGAACGTGGCTTTACACGTGTATAATTCTCCTTTCGTTTCTATAAAGCTTTTAATTATTTATGCGTGTCGTATTGCATGCATAAAGCAATGGTTGCACAAGCGGTATTCACGTATATGTAGAAATACACGTGTGCCTGCGGCGAACTGTGTAAGATGTTGCTTCTTTAACTTCATTGTTCCGTTCGAATTTATTTGATATATTTCCATTTCTAAGATACCCTGTAGATACTCTTATCTCTGATATTATTAAATTTCACGATTTTGACAGTCTTTTTTCAGTGTATTTAGTATTTAAGCAGAGATTTTTGCATAATTAGTATCCGAAAAAATTTTTTATTGCATTTGAATTATTAAATAAGTCTTCTTAAAATACGAAAATACCGCTAACGAAAACAGTAATCTTATTGTCATTGTCTTTAAAGTATTATGTTAATATTCAATTTAAATTATTTAACGCAACACGTTATTTTGACACTGATTTTTTTTACAATATGACAAAAAAATGTAATAATAATAATTTATTTTTTATTTCGCGTTTTGTATTTTATTTTAAACGTTAACCCGAAAAATAGAGAGAAAGAGAATTGTGGTATATCAAGTGACATCTCTTAAAGGAATTGTGGTACAAACGATCGATTTCGATATCAAAGGATTTGCACAGTTACACGCTTATTTTCAGTGACAAAGTTAACAAGCAAGCCATTGGTATCGCACAAAACAGTACATTTCGCTCGCATTATTCCAGAAACTACATGTCACGTGCAGAAATTTCATGTTTCTACGAAGCTAAGAAATTTCTCGTGCAAATTGCTGAATTGCTCAAACTACAAAGATACATAATTGAAATTCTTTATCGCAAGACACAAGATGCGTGCATACCGACATATAAAGCAAGCATGCATATTGCGTGTACAAATTGCTCGCATACGAAAATATTGCGGCGCAAGTTATGGTATCTTAGATGGCTCTTTAAAAATTCTTCTTTTCGATAAGCCAGCGATATACGAGAGAACGTGTATTCCGCCACATTCTGGCAACACAATAACGTGACCTCATTAAAGTAACACTTTCCCATCGTACGGTATATATTACGTGCCTAAGGTTTTATCGTACTCTCGGGACGCATTAAAATGCGCTGATGACATAAAGATCAGCAGCGGGCTTTTGGGATATTTATACAAGCTCTAAACTATCATATTGTTAGATAATCATCCGAGTTTCTTATGGAAGTATTAGAATTATAAAATATTGAAATATCGCGAAGACGAAGGCCTGGATTTATGGATATTTTGTCACCAGGTATGTCGAAAAGAGTGCTAGTGTGGCTGCACTCATGAAAAAAAAGCTAACGAGTGAGGCTTTTATCTCGTATCAATGCATTTAAACCAGCGCTATGAATAAACGGACTCGCCAATATTCGCGAGTGCCCGATTGTGTCCTCGTCGCAATTTCCCTCATAAAAGGGATCCCCGCCAAGTTCATTAAAAGAGGGGCCGCTTGATATCCGTCGCATAAAATATATGCAGCTGATTATTTTCTTTTTTTCTAACGTAAAATATCTATATAGGCGAATATATAGGCGATCATATGAAAGATATGCAGAATAAATTTTACTGAACATTCAGATATAAGATTAGAAGTTTCGACGCGTTAGATGTTTGATAAAAACAAGATTTTATTTAAAGGACATTATGTATTTTAAAAACTATGCTAACTATTTTTTAAATGACGTAACGTTAATAAATCTTGGTAATTAAAAGTGTCAGGGTACAGAGGGATTATTCAATGAAAATATGAATTATATA